ATTGGACGGACTTACTTCCTTTTGCAGAAGTTGCCTACAATAATGCAGTCCACTCCAGCACAGGCTACACTCCTTTTCAAATAGCCAACGGCCAAAGTTTCAACCCTATGCCAGAGTTAACCCCAAAAGAACCAACGATCCCTTCACTGAAAGAATGGATGGAAAGCCTACAAAACACCTGGCCAATAGTCAGAAAATCACTAGATGAAGCTAGGCGGGCATACAAGCACAAGCCGATAAAAAAAGGGTTGAGCCTACACCATTCATTATAGGAGAAATGGTGTACTTATCTACAAAATACCTAAAGTCCCTACAGCCCTGTAAAAAACTTGGACCAAAATATATAGGACCTTTTCCAATTAAAAGAATCATAAATCCAGTAACAGTAGAATTAGAATTACCCAAAAACCTCAGGCAAATACACCCAATTTTTCATTGCAGCTTGCTGAAAAGAGAGCATCAGTCACCTCTACGGCCAAAAATCCCCCCCCCACCACCTCCAATCATGGTGGAGGGGGAACAACACTTCGAAATAAAAGAGATCCTTGACTCTAGGAGATATCGTGGAACAACTCAGTACCTAGTTGCCTGGAAACACCTCCCTGCCTCACAAAATGAGTGGGTCCATAAACGTCACGTCAGAGCCCCGAAGCTATTGAAGAAGTTTCACACAGAGTATCCTAACAAGCCTAACTAAATTTTTACTTGTGTTTTCTTTCATGTGGATCTCTCTTATTGTTAAGAGGGGCCGGATGTCAGAATCCAATTATATTTCATCTTTAATTATCAAACATAGAAACTCCCAATTCTGCCTTCTCTGGATTCTGCCATAAGAGGGAGAAAAGGGGGAGAGCAAAGGGGCTTTATGGCCCTCACTTCCTTCAGCACACTTCAAAGGACTGAATGTGTGTTTATTGTGGCCTCTAAGCTTTAACATATCAAAGAAGAGTAATTGCCTTTCATGTAGTTATCTGAAGTCTCCATCCAGACGGAAGAAGAAAGGGGATGGAATTGTGATACTTGAAACTATCACTGGAAGGGGGGTTGATTGGGTGGGACTACTGGGGAACCCCTTAAAACCTTGAATGGGAGAGCTTGAACCCCAAGTCCTGTCTAGCATGCCTGCAACCATTTTCTCTTAATAAAGGATTCCTGTTGGAAGAGCTATTCCAAGAGTTCTGTCTTCTTAAGATGCAAAGTGGGGTGGGTCCTTACACTGTTTCACTTAGCAACAGAAATTTGAGGCTCAATTGTAGTTGTAAGTTAAGGACTACCAGTACTAAATACAACATATGTAATTTTGTACCAGAGGGGATAAATGTAATCAAGCAAATGTAAACACTCCCCTTGGAAAGAAATCACATAGATCATGGGTGTCAAACTGCCGGCCTGCGGGCCAGATGCATCATGGCGAAACCGCGCCCACCTCATTGCTGGCAATGGAAAAAAGTCACAATACGTCGTGACACGTCACATGATGTTGCAAGTTTGACACCACTGACATAGATTAACGTCTTGTAAACAACAAAGAAACATTTTGTATACAGGTCTGAGCTAACTTTTACCCAGAGGGCTTGGTTTCCACATCTTCGCCAAGCGTGAAGCTCTCTGTTTCTGAAAATTGTTTGTTGAAAATTATTACCTTCCTTGTTCTAGTTTAACTTATTAGCCACTCATACTGGGAAAACAGAACCCAGTTGAGGCTCAGGCCAGCAGTTCTAGCTAACTGTGATGGGACCACGTCTGGCTTCAGAGTAGGTCATTGAGCGACACAAGGTTCTGGAGATAGCTAAGTTGCATCTTACTAATTTTGCCAGTATCTTTCTTCCAAACACCAACACTTCAGATCACTCTGAACCCAATGGCGAGGGTCATCGAAAATTGAGGAACACATATAGAGAGGACATGACCCTTACGTCATCCCCTTCCCAAGCTCTGATGGAAGTTAGGGAGTGGGAGCCATAATATTCCTGGTTAACACCAGAGCAATACACTTTTTGTTAACCCAATCAATGGTGCCTTTATATGATGCAACTGTAGTAGTAGTAGTAGTAGTAGTAGCAGCAGCAGTAATAATAATAGTTGGAAGGGACCTTGGAGGCCATCTAGTACACCCCTTGCTAGCTGTGGAATTCTGGGAGTTGAAGTCCACATGCCTTAAAATTGTCAAGGTTGAGAAACACTGTTCTAGATTGCTTCTCTCCTTGATTAGTTTCCAACCGTTGCTTCTTGTCCTGCCTTCAGGCGCTTTGGGGAATAGCTTGACTGCCTCTTCTTTGTGGCAAGATTTGTGTTGAATACCTTTTCTTACCTGAAGCAAGATTTTTAATTTTTTTCTTTGAGAAAACCACGGTACTAAAATAACCAGAAGAGCATAGTTTCAGTCTCTGAGTGAGCAGTCTCATCCTGTTTTACCTGTCCAGCAATGCAAGGGCATGGAGCATCTCTCTTTCTCTACCTCCCCCGCCCTCTGGAATCAAGACTATGGAGAAAAAGTAGCCTAAGTTTTTATCAGCTCCCTGAAGGAAATAAAATTATTAAACTTATTAAAAAGGAAAAAGTAGGAAGTCTCTTTCTGAACCAGGAGGTACACCCATCCATAAGTATCCCAAGAAATTCTTTGAGGCCACTTAAGAGAAATTCTTATATGTGCCTCCTGCTTATTTCTGCTCCTAGGATGTGTGTGTGTGTGTGTGTGTGTGTGTGTGTGTGTGTGTGTGTGTGTGATGTACTGTATGTGTGCTTCCCTTTTCTCTTGGCTCTTGAGTATACAAGTAGGAAACTTTAGATTTCAGAAACTCATGCTAGGAAAACAGAACCCAGCTGAGGCTCAGAGCAACACCAACATAACCACCTGCCCCCTAGGCAACATGCCCTTAAGGACTCAAAGGACAGCGCTGTTTATTATTCCCCAATTTTCCTGTTTGTCCACTATTTCTCTTTGCAAGTCCTACTGTTGGAGAACACTAACATTTCTATTTGCCTTGGGCTACTTCAGACTATTTGTCTTTCCCAAACAAACACAAACCATCTATCCACAAACACAGTGACCTCTACTTTGCTCAGCTTTTATAGTCACACACCTTGCTGGGCTGGCTAGGAAGAAGTCTTAAAGGCACAGGGCATCAGCTGCCCAGGTGCTGGCCATTTCGCAGACAGTCTGTCTTTTCACACACCTTTTTCAGGAGTCAACATTTGAAGAAAGGAATGCATATTTTATGTAAGTTCATAATGCAGGGGCACAGGGAAAGTGCCTATACAACAGACTACAATTCCAATACATTGATAACATAGTGAGGGCAATGATGGGAAGGATCAACACTGCTCCATTTTTTTCTCTCATTCTACCCAAACACAGGGAATCTTGACTTACAACAGTTTGTTTAGTGACCATTTGAAGTTAAAACAGCACTGGAAAAAAGTGATTTATGATCTTTTTTACACTGAAAACTGTTGCAGCATCCCCATGATCACATGACCAAAATTCAGATGCTTGGCAATTGACTCATATTTATGACAGTTGCAATGTCCTAGGCGGGACATCTGATCACTTTTGTGACTTTCTGACAAAGTCAATGGGAAAGCCAGATTCACTTAACTGGGTTACTAACTTTTGCAGTGATTCACTTAACAACTGTGGCAAGAAAAGGTCATAAAATGGGACAAAAACTCACTTAACTGTTTCACTTAGCAGCATAAAGCTTGGGCTCAATTGTGGTTATAAGTTGAGGACTACCTGTAGGAATTTTATCTTTATCATCTAATTATAATTGGTAATTTTGGTAAATAATAGAATGTTTGGGATGTCAGTCTCTCTCTTTTTGAGAAAGTGGAAATAATGGAAACAAGGAAACTTTGTGCCTTACCCAACTTCTGTTTGTGCTGGCAAGTGTCACCAAGGTGTGACCCTCTCCAAGCAAGTGGTAAAGTGAGGGGAGCAAGCGGGAGCCACCTACTGTTATAAACCATGATTCAGAGTCTGACTCCGACCTGGAATCTGACAGTGTTGCTCCATCTGAACCTGTGCTTCAGACTAGTCAGCCTTGTGCAGGATCTGAGGTGTGGCTTGGCAACAAATGCAAGAGATCAGAAGTTGCCTTTAAGCTTTATCTGTTTATTCAGCTAAACAAAGATGGCCCCCTCTAAAAGAAAGAAAGCCCCAAATGACAAGAAATCTTGTATTTGTACTCTTCGATTACATAAGCAATCCATCCAGCAAAGATAAAGAATTCACCCAGAAAGGCTGGCCTACTATAGATAAGAGAGAATAGAAATAGCTAAAGATGTTCTTTTGGGGTATTTTCCTAAAGACACTGGATGTTCTGCAGTGTCTTGGGACATTGGGTGTTTCCCTGGGTGACCTTTCATGACTCTGCAAGTACTCAGAGATAGTGGGGCCATCTGCACATATGCACAAGCTATGCTTTCTCCTGATTCCTGGTCAACAGCCTCAGGAATCGGGAAGCCAGGATTCAATGAAGGCTGATCAGCCACAGGCATATCCAGCTGCAGAAATCAGATGACAAGGCAAGGATCTAGGACAGTGATGGCGAACCTTTTAGAGACTGAGTCCCCAAACTGCAACCCAAAACCCGGGTGCCGGGTGGGCGTGGCCCGCTGGGTGTGGCTACGGTGGGCATGGCAGATGGGTGGGCATGGCCAGGGTGGGCGTGGCTAGCTCAATGTTGCTCCTGGGGAGGGACGCCTGTGGGGGCCGGGCAGAGTTGGGGGAGATCCAGGGGTCTCTGGTGGGTGGGGCGGTGGGCAGGAGGCTCGTCCTGCGGGGTGAGACAAGGCAAGGTGCGGCAGGGCGGGAGTGCCATTGTCGCAGGGCAAGGTGAGGCAGGGGCCAGGGCAGCTGCTGCCTGACACCATCAGCCCCTGTACACAGAGGCCAGCGAGCGCATGGGTGCTGGGATGCATCCAGCCACGTGGGACCTCAGCGAGTTAGCAGGCGGCTGGTTGAAGAGGATGGTTGCCATTCTCCAGGGCATGGCGTGTGTGCCACAGAGAGGGGTCTCAGTGCTGCCTCCGGCATGTGTGCCATAGGTTCACCACCACTGATCTAGGAAAACCAGAGATGAGCAGAGCAATACTCCTCAATGAGGCGTCTCATTAGGCAAAAGGCAAGGCATATATAATTTATAGAGATTGACCCTTTCACTTTCTAGCTCTTCCATCTTGTTTATAATTCTTGACCAGTTGACTACCTAATTTGGCACCCCTTGACTCTCAGAATGTATTTGGACTACTCTGTGGTTTATCACACTGTGTTCAGCTTTCTTCAGGCAAGCTTTCTTGCTAGGCATTTGACTCACATTCTGTCTTCTCTTATCTGCCTAAAAACTGTAGTAAATGTCAGCTCCAAACACCTGTTTATGCACATCGGCAACATGTATAATGCAAGGAGTGTCTTCTGCCCAAACTCTTCTTGACAATGTAAGTCTTTTCAGTGCTGATTCTACACAGACAAAGACATCTACACATACATTGCAGCAGGAAATTGATTGATGAAGTTGTCATAGCAACTTTTTTGCAAAATATCATCCTTTCCTAATCAGCTGGATAGATGACTGTGCTCTGCTCTGTTAATTTCACTTGTTGTGGCATTGTTGGCTGTGCTCATGAGGCTGCTTTAGAAGGCTGCAGGGCAGGATGGGAATTAAGCCACCTGCTCAGATAATTAATGGGGGTAAAATTCCTTCCCAGGGGTGCAAAAAACACACCAAACAACCACCACCACCATAAGATGTATATTGCACTTGTGGTTCCTTTCACAATATCTTCTGGGTTGTGTGGGTGGAGTCTTTCCTGTGTTGCTACAGGTTAAAAGCATTAATACTCACCTCCCTCTGCTAGTATGCATTTCTCTAGCAGCTTCCTAGACTGCCGATCCATCCGGTGCTTGCTTATAACATGCATTTCTCTTTCTTCATAAATGCTAGTCTCTAAATATAATGGTGATTGTGCAGGTGGATTTAAAACTATAAGAATCGCTGCCCAGGATGGGGGCAAGGAGAGCCTTCAGGGTTTTTGGCATCACAGTCAGGTAGGCAAACTGTGGAGGAGAGAGAGACAGTAACATGTTTTATGTTGAAGACTCTCCAAGTATTCTTCTAGCTTCTTTTTTATGGGATCACATGGGGGAAACATTTAGGGAACTTGGAGAGGCTTTTCTTGTCAGGAATAGAGTTCGGGAATTGCTGGAATAGAGTATTAAGTGGTCTGAGATGGTATAAAAAGATGGCCATGCTTCCTAGCCTCTAACATTGTTTCAAGAACAATAAAAGGGGTCACTTTGGAAATGCTGCAAGGAGTTGGGATGTAAGAAGCAAAGATTGGGATAATTAACTTGACTTTAGCAAGGTGTTTGAGGGAACTACGTAGTAGCTTTACTCAACTCCATTTTGTAAAAAGAAGCTAAGACACACAGAATGCCTTTAGTTTCAGAAAATATATGAGAACCATCAAGAAAGTTGATAATTCTTCTCAGCTAATGATTTAGGTCAGTTTCACATAGGAAATTAAGAAGTACATAATGATTTGTGTTTCAGAAAGGAACTGAGCAAGATCAGGTTTATGTTTCAGAAATTTAGTTTGGATAGGAAATTAGGTAAGGGCTGTATTGCATCTATAAATGTGTACATGAATGAATACATGTTTAAGATAATTGATAATTTGTGAAAGATACATACCCATATAGAATCTGAACAAATTGTACCATCTCTTACAGTAATATAGAGTTGAGTGGATCCTAAAGGCAGCAAATTAGAGTTGTTTTAGTTAATGGTATAACCAGAGTATAAACCATATTGCTATACAACTTCAGTAAAGTTTTTAATTAGATTGCACACTTATCAAGAACAGCCATATCAACATATAATGAATATTTATATTCAGTGTCCAGTGCCACCACATCCTTAATATCTAAGTTCAAAAACCAGGTTGAAAGAGATAAAGGACAATTTTTTTGGTTATCATATTGATGTATTCTCATTGTGCTCTTTTTCATTGTTTATTTTATTGTTCTATTGTCTTATGTATGTTCTGTTTATACTCTTTTCATTTCTCCCTTTTTATTGCTGTTGGAGGCAAATAAATTTAACAAATCTATTACCAATGCCACAATGTAACTTTATAGGTTAAGAGACAAATCCATTTGTAATAACTCTACCAGTGAGCAAAAAGTAATGGAAACCTGTCCCTTCCTAGAAGATCCTTCATAAATTAAATCTACAATTTATAAATTCAGACTGAAATTCAGTCAAAGGCCTTTTCAGCATCCAGTGAATGTAGAACAGCTGGTTCCAGTTTATGTATCCCATTATTCAATATAAGTCATCAGGTGCATAGTGTCAGATGATTGTATTTTAAATAAAGCCAAACTGAAATAAGCAGATTTATACATGGTATTACTTTTGATAGCCTCCTAGCTAGAATCATAATATTTTTAAAATGTTGGTTTACAACTCGCACCCCTAATAGAGTCTTTCTCAAGCATTGATATTATTGTTAGATAAGCCTTGTAAAATGATAAAAAGTATAGAAAGATTAAATGATTGATTATAGACTTAAATTATATTGTCTCTATAATTCCTAGGAGAAAAGAGAGAATACCTTCAAAACTCATATCCTAACAATGGCTATTACTGTGTAGTAAAAAAATAAACATAGAGCCTGTGAAAATTACAAAGGTAGAGAGTTTATACATCTTTTGATCTCTGAGAGGAAAACATAGTACAGTGTTTAACTTTCTTTTTCCTTGCAAGTATACTGTCTGAATGAAAGCCTTCCCTTAGATAAAGCATTGTAAAGGAAGATTTGGATAAATCATAATTTTACATCCATGATATTTCTAATCAGCTTCTTTTGAAAAGTGTGAAAGGTGGACTTTAGTACTGAACTTCTGAAATGTCATGATTTTCAAGGCAGGTCACCATGATATCCCTCTACTTTTAATCTGTACACATTCACTGTCTCTTGTTTAAAATCAACTGGTGATGAGACATTGTTCTGAATGCATTTGTCCATGTAATTTAACACAGACTTCTGCTACAGATTAATTTTTAAAAATAACATTGATTATTAATTCTGATTAATTCTTAATTCTGGTTTCAGAACTGAGAAATGTCAGCATTTCTCGTCAATGCTTCCAAACCTTTGTCAACTTTAAGAGCTTTGAATGTTCATAATGTAAAGGCCATTGTGGTCTCTGTCAGCTCTACCTATGCCAGCACTGAGGGTTAAACATTTACAGCTCATCTATTTTGGAGTGGACTATTAGCTCAAAGCTTGTTGTTTGTTCTTGTTAGGAAACTTTTAACATCAGGGGTCAATGGAGTTGTGTGTAATCAGTTGGAACAATTGGCCTGTCCTCCCTCCCTGGGATTTCATCAGGATGCATAAGCTTCCCCTTTCTCATTATCTGGTGGAGGTTTAGGCTTAATTTGGCTGAGGGGAGTGATTGTCTTCATTTTATGAGGTTGATTGTTAAAATATTGCATCCAAGTTATTTAAAGCAAAGTGAGGGGAGTTGGGTCTGAGTAGCATCATTCAGCTATCTGTATGACCAATCCCGTTTACAAGTTGGAATGGGGTAAAGGGCAATTAACTATATAGGTGTGAAAACCAGATGTCATTGTTCTGACAGACAGAGAGTATAAAGCAGAACTCCGAGGCTTGCAAATTTCTCAAAGAACATGTTTATTAACTACAAAGTATCGGCACATCTAAAGTGAAACCAAGTCTGGACATACACGTAGCAATTCCTCAATACAAAGTTAAAAAACTCCTAAAACTATGCAAGCAACTACGTTCCCCAATAAATCTTCTTGGTGGGCTTTTTATGCAACACCCAGCCTGCAGTCTCGGGAGCAGTGAATGACCTTGGTTCCCATGGGAGAAAAGATTATTTTGACTAGCGAAGAACCTGGGCAACCCCCCTCCTTCCGTTATATGTGGCAACCGAAAATGAGTAGGAAAAATGGCTGCAGCCATGCTCATTTGTAAAGTTGACAGTCTGCTCCTCTCAGAAAGAGTCTCCTATAGGGAAAACAAAAAGCAGGTTAAGTATTCCCTCGAGGCTTGTGAGGGTATTTATTGTAAAACTTTCTTTATTAATCTATCTGCTTTCACATTAGTATATTTCACCCATGTAGCTTCTGAAAGGCGGTAGCCTTTCCACTGAACAAGGTACTATAACTTTCCCTTGTACAACCTAGAATCAAGAATTCATTTTATTTCATAATGTGTCTCCCCCTCTACCACCACTGGACCCAGCAGCTTCTTTGGGACAGGTCTCAAGGAGGATTCTGACCCAGGTTTCAATAGACTGCAATGAAACACAGGATGAGCTTTTCCCAACAATCGTGGAAGTTTCAATTCCACTGTGACAGGGTTTATGATTTTAGTGATGGGAAAAGGACCAAGGAATTTTGGCCCTAATTTTCTGCTGGGTAACTTTAACCTTAAATATTTCACTGAAAGATAAACTAATTGTCCAACATGAAATGGTTTCTGAGGGGAGCATCGTTTATCTGCTTGCTCCTTGTAAACCTTGGTGGCCTTGGTCAATTCCTTCTTCACATTCAGCCAAATCCCCTGGAAGGATGTCACCCACTGATCCAAAGTCTGGGAAGTAAGAGGCTCCTGTGGGTACTCAGGCATGGGCACAAAATCTCGACCCGTTACTATTTTAAATGAGGTGAGTCCAGTGCTACTATGCACAGTATTGTTGTAGACTATCTCTGTGAAAGGCAGGAGATCAGCCCAATTAGTCTGCTGGTAATTTACATCGCATCTGAGGTACTGTTCCACCATCCCATTAGCTTATTCAGCAGCTCCATTAGTATTCAAATGAAAAGCCAATGAAAGCCCCTAGGAGGACCCAATCAGTTGAACGAACTCCCTCCAGAATTTAGCAGTAAACTGGACCCCTTTGTCAGAAATAATCCGCTTTGGGGCACCATGGAGTCGATATATGTGCTTCAAAAACAGTTTGGTTAGCTTCTGGGCAGAGGGAAGTCCTGAGCAAGCGATGAAATGCACCTGTTTGGAAAATAAATCAGTCACAGTCCATATTACAGGGTTTCCCTTGCTCTCAGGTAATTCCACTATAACAGAGGTCCCCAACCTTTTGGGCACCAAGGACCCTCTTATATAAATGATCATGGAGCATTTGATTTATCAATAAACACAGCAGGTGCCCTCTGCAGTCCAAAAGGCATCACTTTAAATCGGAAGCTTCCCAAAGGGCAATTAAAGGCAGTTTTCCACTCGTCCCCCTCCTTAATCCAGATCTGGTAATAAGCCTCTTTTAAATCCAGCTTGGTAAAGATTTTTTTTTTAGCCAGGTGGGCTAACATGTCCTTCATCAGGGGGAAGGGGTACATATTTTCCATGCTTACCGCATTCAGAGATTTAAAAGCCACGCATAATCTAAGAGACCCATCTTTCTTTTCCTTGAATAGCACAGGAGCGAGTGATTTGGCTGGCTGAATGAAACCCCGAGCTAAGTTTTTGTCGATGTTCTCTTTCAGTTCTTTCATCTCTCTGGGTGTCATAGAGTACATCTTTGGTTTTGGGAGGTTAGCACCAGGCAGAATTTCAATAGCACAGTCTGTAGCCTGGTGTGGGAGGAGGATGTCACATTCCTTCTCACTAAATGCTTCCCCCAAATCATGGTATTCTGTGGGGACCAGTTGAACCCCTGGCAGTTTTTTGGCTACAGTCTTTAGGGTTTCGCAGGGCTCCCCTTGAGTCTCACTAATGGCCAGTGTCTTTATTTTATCATCAGTGGCAGGTGGGAGAGGTTCTGTCCCCAGTCTTAACTTCCACATTCCCTCCTCCCACCAGATGTTAGGATGCCATTTATCAAGCCACGCTAACCCCAAAATTACTGCTTCAGTCATCTTCAGAACCACCACAAAACGGATGATTTTGCAATGCCGGCCCATTTCCAAATGCACCAGTTCGGTTAGGTGTGTGGCAGGGGCACCTCTGATGAGGGACCCATCGGCTTGCTCAAACCTCATGGGGTAGGAGCAATAG